TTATTTTAACATGAAACAAGTTTGTGAATGAAATATTCAAGGCCTTTGTAGGCCCCCAAAATACGCGTACCGCTAGGCCAGCCTTACTTTCGTTGGAGGGGCAGCAGCGCCACGACGCGCTCTGCCGCCAGCCATGGAACAACATTATGGCTGCCGCTTTGGAACTGTCACAAAACTTTGATTTTGTGTCAGCCAGGTTCATTATCATCAAAATAAAATAGAAAAAATAGGAGCCTTCGTTTTTGGGTCTTTGGTCTTCGTTTTATAGACACCCGTCGAGACAACCGAGTGGAGTTTCATGCAAATATTTTGTACGGAAAAAAAATCGCCCACCGCCCTCATTAAACAGTGTCATTTCGTAGGTCCATGTTCAAAATTAAAAAAAATATATAGTGATGATTGGCTAGGACAGTGTCGATTTTTTCACAAGTGAGCGGATACCACTGCTTTGATATGGAAAGACGAAGCAATATTCCATGACAACAGCTGGCCAAGTGAACTTAAATGCTTTTGTAAACATAGGCGGAGTCTTTTTATAGACACCCGTCGAGACAACCGAGTGGAGTTTCATGCAAATATTTTGTACGGAAAAAAAATCGCCCACCGCCCACATTAAACAGTGTCATTTCGTAGGTCCATGTTCAAAATAAAAAAAAAAAAAATATAGTGATGATTGGCTAGGACAGTGTCGATTTTTTCACAAGTGAGCGGATACCACTGCTTTGAAATGGAAAGACGAAGCAATATTCCATGACAACAGCTGGCCAAGTGAACTTAAATGCTTTTGTAAACATAGGCGGAGTCAAAACAATTTCAGTTATCTTCATTGCAAACTACAGATTAGATATATGAGATTCAAAATATACAATTGAACAGTCTCCAAATTCAAATAAAAAGGTTCGTTGTCATTATTTCAAATTGGAAATTTGGAATGAGAAATTTTAGCTGGGCTCTGCAGGGGACCCGAAGCCGTTTGTGCGGCGCCAGCAGTGTAGGCCACACTTATGTCATGGAAGACTCCAATTAAAATACTCCAAGTAAAATATGATGCCAGCCAGATTTGAACCAGGTCTTCAGTACAAGAAGCAGGAGCATTACCGCTCTACAATGCTCAGTTCATCTAGGCCTCTGGCCCGTATTATAAGATATGAATTTGACAAACTTCGGGGATGCCAAGTAGGCGTAAATAACTCTGCTAAATTATAGGTTAATACATTATTATTCGTTGACAACATCAGTGAGATACAAAAACAGGATATTCATTGAATGAAGAATAAAAAATAAAATAGAAGTTGTGTACAGCAGTTTAATGTGGTTGAGGTGCAAAACGTTGAGGTTGTCAACTCTAGCTATCCGAAAATAGAACTTTTAGGTCAGCAGTCTCTGACTTTAAAATGATGGCTTGGGTCAGGTGTTTGCAACAGGCTCGACTGACCAATGGCACCATGCCTGTACTCATTGGAACATCAACACCTCCCAGAGATAACCAATATTGAGAAGGTCATTGGAACATCAACACCTCCCAGAGATGACCAATAGAGAGAAGGTCAACCAGTTCCAACTACACTCACAAAACAAGCGTGACCATTATGTTTGTGCTACATAAATACACTTTATTATCAACATTATAACATAGGCTATATTCAACTGGTCTTTCTTCGTCCTGCGCAGTGGTAAAATCCCTTAACGAAGACGACCAGATAAAAAACTGGTAAATAGGCCTACTCGACAACACTAAATGGCTGCATAGTTACCGTGATACAAGCTAGAGTAATCAAGGTCGCCCTAGCTTGTGACAGTATGGGTTTTTGCAAAAAAATGTTTTCAAGCAGTTTTTGAATTTTGTTAGCCTACAATTATTGTTTGACTTTATGTGGGTAAATATAACTATATTTTCTGAAATTTAATCTAAATTACATTAACGCAAATGTTGTTTTTAAACTGACTAATCGGCCTTGTTTGTTTTGGTCACGTGGATAACTTATTGCAAATTAACACTCTGGTTTACGTTAATTTCTGTCGTCAATGTCTATTTTACGAACCAGCCGAATGAAATAATACTCAACGAAATATCGTCAACTAAGCGAACAGAGGCGGCACCAGGATTTCCCCTTGGGGGTCCAAGGTCGCCGATGGGGTTGGGGGCTGACGTCCTCGACGAGAAAAAAATGGGCGTGGTCGGGCGTCGCTAAAAACATTTCGAAAGTGATCCAGGGAATGTAGCCAGACGAAAATATGACAATTTAGGGGTTTCAAAAGCTTATTTAATCGACTTTAGAGTATATTAATATGTACAAAATACATATAAATTTTTTTATTTTTTTTTCTCCCCGACAGAGGGTGCAAAAAAAAACAGCAAACGTAATTGAACATGTGCGTTTGTTTTGGACAACACGTACATGTATTTTTGGAATTGGTCAGTTAAGTTGTATTGACAAACATTATTAATACAAGTCTAAAACTTAAGTTACACTAGGCCTACTGTATGGAGTTCCATTTTACTATTGTGGAAGCTAATTTAGAAATTAAGGTAAAGGTGCCCATCACACTAAGCCCCAGCATGGTGCGGTAGGGTTGCCAGTTCTTTTCACACCGCGTTAACCCCAACAGTCTATCGGGGCGAATCCAGGAGGGGCATGGGGACACGTGCCCCCAATTTTGCCACTAAATTTTAGAAATTTCAATGCCAATCAATGTTATGCACTACTCACTTATCTATTTCCAAACTGTTGTAGCCACATCAACTAAATCTGAATCTACCATTTGGTCAACATTATTGCAAATATTGGTATAACCAAGCTGATTGCACATCGATCACAAACACAATAACAGTCGCCTGTGGACTGCTAATTGACTTGCTTGCATCATAGCTGGGAGTTTTCAATTGCACAACGCGGTAGAACATAAAACGTAATGACCAAACTGAGAAGTGATTGGCGCATGTGAGAACATTAAGTTCTCACTGCATAGAACCTAGGATGTCATTTGGCAAAAAATGTATGTTGTGTGGAGAATGCTGTATAGAGAAAGCAGTACTGTTGCACATGAGTGAATCCGTTCTATCATCACATCGTCGCGTAAATCAAAAGCACTCTCCCAGAATTTTGGTTCAAGTATATCATTGACCTCACTGTTAACACAACAGCTTCAAACCTGTCAACTATCTTTAGTGATCTGGTGTCATGTGATCATTCTTTTGAGCAATCACATGACTATTTACATCTGCCAGAAAACCAAATGAAGCATTTACAGCAAAAGCAATGATCCTCTTAACCAAGATTCTAAATAGTAACACTTTATGAAATAATAATAATAACAATAATAATTATGATAAAAAGCATGAATACTATAATAATACAGTAATACAATAAAAATTATATATAATACTATTATTATATATATTTATATAATAAATAATAATCAATTAATACAATAATTATAGCAATGGTAAAATAACAATAATAAAGTAATATCAGTTGATGATAATCATATTTACAAAATACTAAAAGCCACTTTCTATGCACCAGTCATTTTCAAAATACACTTATGCACTTAAACCATTTACATTTTCCTATATTGGAAATAATCCCTGTATTGTGGGTATAACAGGTAGCCTGATTATTTGCCAAAGATCGTGGTTTATGAAGAAGACTTGTGGTGGCCTGCTCCGCAGGTTAAGGATGATGATGGTCATGACTGGTTATCGTGGATGAAAGTCTTTTAGCAGCGTGAAGACCAACAGATGGAGGAATATGAGTCCTCGATAGCAGACCTGAAAGCTGTGAAAATGATCAAAAAGTTTGTAAATTTTCAACATAATTTTGCAATAGCATTTCAAGATGTCTCATTTTGCAGCTGGAGATTTACATGCATGTATGCCATAGTGCCCAGGAAGGGGGATGTCCAGGGCTAGGTCTTGGGGGCCCAAGCCTCATAGAAACAAAGGTCATTAGGGTGAAAAAAGAACAACAAATATTTTCTTCACCTCAGGCAGCACTAACTGTCAACCAATCGCACTGGGGCCCCAATGCAGACTTCTACATGCCTATAGAGGCCTAGACAACAAATAGGTAAGAGAGTAATAAAAATGATATCCATTTTTGAAAAATCCATACCACACACAGCTTTTCCCCAGGCCCTACTTATCATAACCACTACTCAACTCTATGATTTCTATGAAGACCCCAAAACCCTGCTATTGGTCTGGCAAATGAGGGCATCTGTACATGCATGCAGGTACAGATGATAGAGAGGTGGATGCAATAAGGGGCAAACTCATACAATTTGAAAATTTCTAACCTCATTACTCTTAATAAAGGGGCATCTACAGTTATCTAGCTTTTCCCTCATGGACTTCTGTGACTCTAAGTCGACTGGCTTTGTAGCATCTTCCACAACGAATGCTGTCAGGCCGATGTCAATAGCATCTTGTGCAGTATAACCAACACAAAAGTCCATTGCCAAACCGCATATGTACACCGTTGTAATATCTCTTTTAGCAAGTTCGTTTGCAAGGTCCGATTTGGTCTGGTGAGCATTATCACAAAACGCTGAATAGGAATCCATATGACAGTGGATACCTTTCTTTATGTGAAACATGTCTGTATGTCCATTAAGCTAAGAGAAATTAGATAACATAATAAATTAAAGAAATATTAGATTAGTAAAATAGATAACTACTGTATTTATTCAAATATACGCCCCTGGGCATTTAGGAGGAGGCGTTTATTCCAAATGAGCCTCTGGGGAGCTGGGTGCTTGTTCAAAGAGAGGCACTTTTGAATAAATATGGTAACTGATCGAGGACTGATATGGTAACTGATTGAGCATAGCTCAATCGGCTAAACTGCTTGTAGCCACTTATGTGCACTGGAAGTGTTGCCAATATAGTCTTGATGGTCTTGCCTATATATGGCATATTGCATGTTTTTATCTGGACAGGGACTCAAACAACTGGTTCTGAGCATGTTTTTATCTGGACAGGGACTCAAACAACTGGTTCTGAGCACAATATAGCTTATGTGAATGTTACAGAACACAGCATGCTCTTTGGAAAAGAGTGATGGATTGGATCCCAGGGCACTGAATCACCACTACAAGGACCCTAATGGAAAATCTTGTGTATTATTATTATTATTATTATTTTATTTAGCCATCATTTGAAAATGATATCTGGCCATCTCATAGGTGCAATGTCTATTCAATGTTGTGTCTTCTCACCCTATTTACATACCATACCATACTTTACCTATTTAAGTTAAGATTTAAGTTAAGACTATCTCCTTTTAGACGATATTTAAATGTGTGCATCCAATAGTTGTCCCGCCGCAATTGCATAAATACAAACAAACGGTTACTTGTTACACCAAAATATTTCCCCCCCACCCACAAAACTTTTGATTCCTTCTTGGTAACAGACTTCCATTAATTTTGTGTGGGTTATTCTTAGTGTTCACAACAAATAAATGAAATTCCAATTCTAATTCTGAATCCAAATCAATAATAAATGTTGATAAAAAAATGTATATAAAAATATGAACAACAAAATAGGAACGTGTGGTGCAGTGTGTAGGGTTTTGGAATTCTGATCTTGAGATCGGGAGTTCGAGACCGACACTCGTCGCATTGTTTGTGTCCTTGGGCAAGACATTTTACTTTACGTTTGCCTCATCACACCCAGAAGTATAAATGGGTTGGGGGTCATGCTGTTAACCTGCTCATTGGTGACCCTGCTACGACTGTAACAGTAGCTTGATTGTATGCGATTATTCGCTACATCATACGCATGAAAAAGGAAAAAAAAAGGAATGAAATCGTACATTATATAATTTAAATTTCACCTTAAGGTTTTTATGGAAAGCCGCACCAAACGTTTCCTGCACGCAGTGTGTTGGCCACAGAATCTGTTCCATTCGTGGAGGCCCAGAAAAGACAACTGTATCTAATAATTTAGCATCTTCAGCAGAGATCTAATGGCAGAGATTAGATGTATAAAAAAAATCATTAACATGTGGATGTTGAAAAGTCAGCATATAATCACACAATAGTTAAAATCATAATCAATAATCATCAATCATAATCATCAATATAATCATTTCTAATCAATAAATAAACACATACCCATCAATAATCATTATTATCATCAGTTTGGTGCAGTGGGAACGGTTTGGTTTCCCAACTATGAGGTCAGGCTTTCAATACCTCACTGTGCATTTCGCTTGTGTCCTTAAGCAAGGCACATTTTTTGCGTTGCAACTCCCCACCCAGGAGTGTAAATGGGTAGAGGTACCTGGTGGGGTAGCCTGCTACAATGCCATTATGGGAAGCAACACTTAATTAAGCAATTCAGAGTTGTAGATTATAATAAATAATAATCCTCAATATTAATCCTGATCAATTACCAAGCAGTTTAAAAAACTAAGCATCAACCTTAATCCATATCTAAAAACAAATTCTCGTATTCTTGAAAGTTCTGATGAAGGCAGTATAATACAGGCAGTAGAGTATATTCGCCCTAATGGCCGCCCATACAAAATTATGATCTATTAATCAAATTAATTACTACCACTAAAAGGGCACGTCGTATAAACGGTCGGTTAACGCTGTGTTGTAAGGAACTGAAGGTTGTAAGAGCTATTAATACAGAAAATTTTAAATAATTAGACTGTTCACTTGTACAAAATCAAAATGTCTTACAATTTATACCCAGGGAATCCCCTTTTCAATCGCAATTCTTCACCACTGTATGCCTAATTCAAAGGCAATATTTGTATAAGGCAGTTGTATACGTCAGCTAAGCTACTCATTCAAAATTATACCCTGGGCTTTTGCCTGAGGAAAGGGTGATACATAAAATTTTGCATAAATGAGGAGTGGGCTTACACCCAAGAAATTATGGCAATATATTTTTGTCTTTGTACTCACTGGGCTGCTAGGGTCAACTGGGTGCTTTTTGACGTTATCAGCAAAAGAGATGTGATTGGGTGGATGCCAATCTCGTGTGTATCCAACCGTGTCAAACCTGAATGTTTCCAAGATTCTGCAAAGGAAAAACTCAACTTCATGCAAATAATGCATTTTGTGGCAAAATGGCAAAGTTGTAGCAAAATTTTAATTAAAGTTATTATTACTTTCAGATGAGTTGAGTATAATCTTAAAAAAAATGAGGGGGTCAATCATTAAAATTGGAAGTCTCAGTTATTGGGAAGTTGAAAGCACTGCACTCTTAAGCTGGTCACTCACTGCATCCGACAATCAGCTTTGATTTGTTGGCCGACGGTCGTACGACCGTCGTGAGTGACTGCCCGAATTTAGAGTCAAAATAAACATGATTTTGAGCAATGTCATTGCAAACCTACTTGTACATACATTGTGTAATGGAACTAACTACCAAAATAACGTTTAAAAAAATAGTTTGTTGACCGTTTCCAGAACCACTACCTTAGGACATAATTAATTGGATACTAAACTGTTATGTTGGTAGTGTGGTTACACCAAATGCCATGAATGACATTTGACATAAGCAAATAGTTTTCAAGTGGTATCAACTCTTCAAATCTTTTAAAAAGATGTGGTATAAAATAGCGAGAAATGCAAATAGTACTGTTATTGAAGAAGCCTGGTTTTAAAGCATAAATTAATGCAAAATAAACAATAAACAATTACAACTACATTAAAATTGAGTTACCTATTAATAATTGGAATTACATCTTCTGCATCTTGGACTTTTAAGGATCCTGTTATGAAGTCATTTTGGACATCCACAATAAGAAGTGCACTTCGTGGCTTTAGAACCTAACAAATCAAAACAGAGACTTGTTAAAATGAAAGATTAAGGTGATAAACTCATGAGGGAGCTACTGTAATTGATCTTTCAGGAGTGCCAATCAAACTAAGCAACTGACCAATCACAAGGCCAGGAATATGCATGTCTCACAAACACATGTGTTATCCCATAAACACACATGTTTACATACATTTACCCTATTTTTTACGGGACCTTAGCAACCATATCCAAAAGGGAGCTTAGCTTAACGAGTCATAGTGCAGTGATCGTAATAATAATAATAATAATATGGGGTTCAATTCTCATAGTAATTTACTTGTGTCTTTGAACAAGACATTATATGTCATGTAATCCCTGTTTCATTTATTTATTTATTCCCTCTCATTCATTGATGAACATGCTCATTAGATTGGCCATATATATTGGCTATTAAAACAACAACTGGGTAACAGTCCACTTTGTTGATTCGCACAGTATTTGGAAAAAGGAAGTGTTTATCTAGGGGTTAGTCAGAATTTTTCAGTTCAGCGCTATACATCATTCACACAATACCAAAACACTGTAACATGCACACAGGCCTACCGCTGCCGACTATAGAAAATGAAGTAGTAAACACGCTCATCTGGGAGCCTTTTGGCCTCATGGAACTCAGTAATATTTAGTACTTAAACCAAGAACTGGTAAATATTGTGAAGTATCTAGAAGATTTATCCAGAATATTTAAATAATATACCAAGAGCAACATACGGTAAACTATACACGCAACAATACGACAATTATAGTCCGATTAAATTTGCATTCATTAATTGGAGCACTGGTAGTTAGAAAACATCTGTTGCATATGTATTTCTGACTATTATTAGTATGGTAATGAATTTCAATTACAGGTTTTTCTGATTTACAGTCAATTTATCTTAAATTGATTACCAGCAAATTTTAAGATATGCAGAATAGATGCAAGAAGTAAAGATAATATGCTCTTAATTGACATAACATTTTTTCTTGCTTCAATTTTCAATCATTAACATATCAATTTGTTTGGGCCGTTTTGACCACGTAACTATAAGAGTAAGTAAGACAAAAATGAACAAATTGAGGCGCTGCACAGCGCAGTTTTTGGGATAATTCATTATACGAAAAGGGTATATAAAAATGCACTTTTTTTAAACAATAAATCATTAGTGAAACACTAAAAATAGTTTCCTAATTTATGTATGACACTGTAGGAATAAGATATGTCCACTATCAAGCATATTCACTTGATGGATTCTAACAGTATTTGATACAGCAGGTACCATATTTTCTTCAGTTCAGAAAATGGAACACGCCAATATCCTGGACCGGCTGTGAGCCCATTTTCTCTTGAAAGCCTTTGATATAATTTTAAAATGACGGAAGAAAATTGAGGCATGTCGTGGCAAAATGGTTAAGTTGTCGCACAGTCCAGTATTGAGTAAATGAGCTAATAAAATATGGGAGCTAAAAAATTGCCTAAAAATCCAAATTTTTTTTCCACTATAGATCAACAGTTTAATGTCTTATTAATCATGTCCCAAAGTATTAGATCTGAAAGTAGTCAACAAATTGTTTATTTAATGTTATTTGGATAGTTAATTCTGTTTAAAAATGTATGCACAAATAGTTTTTGAAGGCAATCACACAAAATTATGTTTATCTTGACTCTAAGTGTTGTACTTTCACTTTCCAATAACTTAGGCTTGAAATGTTGAATTTCAATGAATGACCCCTCATTTTAAATATCACATTCTCAGGTATCTGAAAATACCAATAACCTGAATTTCAATTTTTGCTACAACTTAGCCATTTTGCCACAACATGCCTCAATTACATTCAATCTGATTGATTTTTATGCATAACTGATCACAAGAAAATTTGCTTTCTGCTGCCACTCAACCTAAGCGATCGCACTAGTGTAGGCAAAATTATGACGTAAAGAAACGACTCCTAATAAGCCAACTCAGACCCCGCTGAAAACACAATAATATAGTCTACAGTATATTTTCGTTAATTCAACCCAAAAAATGACAGCCTGGTGAAATATTTAAAAACAATATTTTGTAAATTGTTTGCAGTAGCTATATTTATAAACTTCTATAAACCTTTTCAAACGAATTTATACGACCTCTAGTTTTTGAGTTACAGATTTTGTACTTAAAAACAGTCAATTTTTTTGTTTTAATGGTTAAGAGATAGGGAGAATTTAACGGCGGAGTGCTTGCAGTAAAGTGGACACCTAAACAAATTGATATGATTTAAGAATGCAAGCAATTTAAATATTGAATATTTTTTTCTACTTCTTTGTTAACCATATTTATAGAGGGTGACCCTTTCAGCATATCCTAGAAGGTTGTCTGATAATATTCAGAGGCACTCTTATACATAAATAAAATAATGCGGTAATTTATAAGTCAATGTCTTATTACAAGGCTTAAAGATTGGAGATGTTTTTTAAGCCAGCCACTCACTGCCCATGAAGATCGTAGGCCAACGCGATTATATAAAGGACGTAATGTCATGACGCGTGTGCAACAGATTGTTTTTAATGAGTATCTGTTCAGACAGCCACCGACAATCACGCCGTCTAGCATTCACAGGGAGCGGAGTTGGATTTGTCGTGTGAAGTCCTACGACTGTCGTACAATGCAATGAGTGGTCGCAGGATTTGAACCCATAATTCTGGAACTGGAAGGTTGGCATCATCATCACCACCACACTACATCTCCACTTTACTGACAGTAAAAAATAAACGAAAAATTAAGAACCAAAAAATACATCACCTGCTTTAACCACGTATTGAAAATGGTCTTCATTTCAGATTCGTTTAACTTTGCATCCTAGAACAATAAAACAAAAAAGTGACTTAAAATAGTAAAAGTAAAATTCTCTTAATAATATTGTGTAATATTGCTTTAATAATATAACAATATTAATAACAATAATTACAATAATAATAATAATAATAATAATAATAATAATAATAATAATAATAAAAGTATTTTCTTACCTTGTCTTGATCAAGTTGTGTAAAGATAAACTCAATATCCTTCTCAATATCATTGTAAGGTTTCCCATCAGCTTTCACAAATAAAGTATTACAAAGAGATTCAAATTCACTAAAATTCAGGGCCCCATCACTACAGAGGTGAGAACATTTATATTAAGAAAACTCTCAAACCGGGCACAATTAATGATGATGATGAAGGATGGTGATGATGATGATAACAATAAAAATGATGATGATGACAATAATAATAATGATAATTTTTGATGACAAATAAAAATATGTACCGGTACCTACATCAGACACTCAATAATAGAGTGCATACAGTACCTCCACCACAGAATTTTGCAACTTTCTGTGACATGAAACATGACCTTTGAACTGCAAATTTAATCACCTATTATTAGACCAATACGTATTGCTCCATTGCACAATCCTGATTTTAAACAATTGAAAAATTTTGCCAGATTTTAATTTATGATTTTTGAGTAAACACACAAACGCTTTCAGTATATTTTAAATACAGGATTAATAAACAAAACCAGCCTGTGACTCAAACTGAAGTTAAATAAACAAAACCATATTTGGTAATTGAATGATCCCCAAGTAAACACTTAAATATTGATTTAACATTTCAACCAACAATTACTGTAGATTAGAAGAGGAATTCAAATAAAATATCCAAAATGATTGGCATTTTCCTAACACCATTACAATACAATGCCACTCAAAAAATATGAACAAACATAGGCTCCAAACTGTAAAATAAGGCCTGCGAGGGAAATCTATCCTCCGCACAAAAAATAGGCCCAGAAAAATGTCCGTGCATTTTGGAAAATAAAGGCCGATTTCCAGATTTTGTCAAAATTTGGCGGCCATGACCTATCTCTTAATAACCATGTATCATGCAGTAGTTACGATCCTACGCATTTATTTTTCTAGTCATTTTCTGTTCAAATTTGAGTTTGAGTATCAATCGCACAATTAAAATACTTTACACAGTATGGCATAAGCCGGTTTTGCCATTTATCCATTCAACTCTAGTTCTTTCAGTCCAAGTGATTTTGGATACTTCTAAAACAACCTAGGTCATGGGAGCAAAATGCAGTTTAAAAGTCAGGTCCTTCCAGGAGATCTGGTTAATTGAGTTTTCTTACAGTATATTTAAATTTACTTTTTGTGAAACAATTGACAATTTAAAGTAGTAAAAACATGCAAATATATTTCGGATCTGGCTTAGTTGCAAGGGCCGAAGCTGATTGGTAGCTAGCCTTTGTACTGTGACTGTGTGTGCGCTAAACTGTGGAGATCTCTTGATCCCCGGTTCAATCTAGTACAAAACTAAATGCTTCCTCAGTTAGTCTTATTAGACTAGGTTAGTTAGGGCCGTAAGCTACAAGTGTGTAGGCAAGCGCTAGCCTGTAAGCACGTATATAGAGACCTAGCAAATCTCTATAGGCCTACTACTACACTAGCTAGTATGGCGTAGGACTAGGCCTAGGGGTTCTAGCTAGCAGACTTCCTCAAATACTACTAGTACTACTACAAAACTTCTGTAGTTTTCTACAAAAATTTTGCCTAATAATTACGGACATAAGGAAATAGAAAAAAAATACTTGTCAAGAATACATTTCATTTGCTAGGCTTATGCCTTCCTGCTGGGCTAGGCCGGCCTAGGGACGAGGTCTAGGCCTAGCCCAGCCTAGTCCTAGCCCTAGGCTGTCCTAGCTAACTAAAGGCCAGCTAAGCCTATGCTAGGGGCCCAGAAATTACTTTTCTGTGCGGAAAAACGTTACTCACCCATCGATATCAAATTGTTTTAAACATAAATGAGGCCAATCACCGTCTCCTCCATCTACTTCATCTTGCGACAGCAATGTTTTTACAAAAGCAGCGGGCATTTCTAATCCTATTTTGACAAATAAGCCTAGCCTTGCCTAATAAATACTCGTTAGTCTCGTTACTATGGATGACGCTGCTTTGACAGCCAGCTGATCGCTCATCGATGATCCGATCATCAACCCATAGAGCTATTAAACAACTAGAGTGCTGACAAGATGGCGGAACAATGCAGAGTTGTGTATGTGTACCATCCAAGATGGCTGCCGTAAGAAAGCGCCACCTTCAGGCTTAGTATACATATTATTACCATAAATAAGCCCTCTGACTGAATATTATTTCATTAATGATAATTAGTATTGATGACAAATTATTAAACTGTCGTAGCCAAAACGAGGCCAAGTGGAGCATCTTATTAAAAAAAACAAGTACCAAGGAATGAAAATTAAAATCGTGTGCATTACACCCAAACACCGCAACGCTCGAGTTTCAAACATAGCTGTACTGAACTTTCTGTGTAAATTGAGGGCGCCATTGAAAATGATAGTGCTCAGGCGAAATTTGATTGGCTGAATATAAGGCAGCCATCTTGGATGGTACACACACACAGCTCTGCGTATTTCGAACATCGAATACATTGCGGTTATTATATCTCTATGGATCAACCACAAATGGCCCCCCACACGCTTCCCTTCAAGTATGGAACGCCAATATTCTCTTCGGCAGAGACTTGTCAATTTCTCTTCGGCCCATTTACAACACGTACGGCTGTTGTTAGCACTCGTTGCGTTTAGTTTAACTTCGCTCTTTTATTGTTTGTTTTATTGCCTTTTCCACACAATACAAAATAAATAATCAACAAAGAATACAATTAATAAGCCTATTAAAATACATTACATAAGTAAATAGTAACAGTTTGTGGAAGGCGACCAAAATAAGTTCAAGAACTTTTAGTGTGATGGCCGCCAAAATATCAGAAAGAACCGGTGGCAGATTCAGCGGGGGGGGGGGGGTCATGAGGGGGGGGGTCATGAGGGCCCGTATCCCCTCCCCCTCCGTTAGTCAAGCCGAAGATAAAAAAGAGGTAGAAAAATTTTAGGTAAAGAGAGGAAAGAGGAAAAAAGGAGTGCACCCATGAGTTCAATAGCGATCCAGCAGTGGAAGAAAGGAGAGCTCGATCATTTACCACTTATTTTCACCATGATAACAAAGGGCTGAGGTGGGCGGCTTGAGCTTCATTTTGTGCCACCCCCCTCCCCATACCCGTTAGAAATTCTCTGGATCCGCCCGAGAACAATGCATTTTAAAAAGTTTACAACCAAGTAAACACTATTACAAAATTGGGCAAAAAAATATTCCTGTTTCGTCCGGCCCTCCTTTCAGCATTCGGTGCATTTATATTCAACTCATAATTACCATTACATTCGACTACTAGCATCCTAACACGGTGAGTCCAGTGGTAGCGTAACGACCGTGAGCTCTTGGAGGCGCAGGGGGTGGGGGCGCAGCCACGGTCCCCACTGAAAATGGGCCCGCAGGCGGCCCGGCCCCTCCTTTTACTACCTATCCAATACTACTTGAGTCTTAAAAGTGGTAACGCATGTGCTTTGTGGTGCCGAGTCCCAGTCCAAGGACCCCGGACAGCGGCCCCTCTATATCCTAGCCCATGCACTCTACTGCAAGATTCAAGAAATTTTATTTGTCCATCATATAACAATACAGAAATTCGTATTGTTTGGCAGATGACAAAAAATAAAATGTATACATACAGTGCAAAGTTAAACAAGAAGGTGAATAAAGAGCCATACAATTGACAATAAAAATAAGGAAAAACAGTTCAAAAGTTAAAACCCAATACCGGTAAATGTCTTAAAACAGTATATTAAATGAAAGTTGAAACACTAAAGATAAAATATTTTAGAACCTAAAAGAATATTGTTAAAAATAGAGTTCAGATAGCTAAAACCTTAATAAAATGTCTTAACATTTTTTAAAACATTATAGAAGTTAAAAACATTAAAAGGTATTTAGAACAAAAAAAACTTCCAATATTGCAGCAATCTCTTCAGTTTAAACTTTTCCATAATTTTCAAAACAAAATAGACCAAAATCCCATACACTCTTTGGCATATTTATTAGAAAAGGGCAACCCTCCAACTACTACCAAATACGACCCAGATTTTACTATGGAGCCTGTGAAGTCTAGAGCTCAGGAGTGGCCATAGGTCCTCCTCTTACTAGCTTTCTCATACGACGTTTTTCATGAAGTATGGTAACATTTCTTTTAATTTTCAACAATGATGGGGCCCAGACCGGCTACATCCCCACTCATCCTAGAATCTGGCACGGCCCTAAAACATGGCAATAAATAAGGATTACCTCCACATCATAGTAAGCCATTATGAAATACATAGGTATTATACATAACATGTTAAAATTGATCAAACAATGAACTAATAAATCTGATATTCGGATGATAAAGGCCTACAGCGCTATCGATTGAACCATAAAGAACGATGGTCATTTTATTCAGATTGGCCTTGTTTCAGAGCAATGCAATTCGTGGTATCAAAGTGATACTTTATTAAAACAACCAATCAATTTGGCTGCCTAATCATCTTTATAACTTCAAGCTTATTAGACGATCCGAAGAAAGGAATCCAGTAAGTGAGCCTAAAACTATCGTGGAGAAAGTAAATTTTTGTCCATGCGACGTGCAAAATACGTGTTGGGTTTTTGGTTTATAACTGTTTGAGACACTGATGGAATTTAAATCGCATATTATTTTTTTTTTTGGAATACGATAAAATGCTCTCCTATTTCTGGACTTTTCTTCTATCTTTTTTTCATTATTATTTATTATTTGGGGGTAGGGGCTAGCACCTGTGCTCGCTGGATCCGCTTATTTATGTTGGTAAATCTTTATTGGAACTTAAATCAATACATTCATGATTTAAGTAACCTAGAGTATGCGAGCAAATGAAATTCACGATGACGATTTATGCATAGACCTAATTTATACGTTCAAATATTCAAATTAAAAACGTGTGTACAAAATATTATTTGATTATAGTGTTAATACAATATGTTTTGCATTGTCTACTTTACTGATATGCAAAGGGCCCCAACACCCTCGCACCGGGCCCCATGACTCGTCATTACGCCACTGGGTGGGTCTGAAGTAGATGCACTCTTTGTATTTGTATGTCCATCTCTCTGGGCTCAAATTGATTGAATCAATTTGAGCCAAGAGAGATTTTAAGGAAACTAGGAATCAGATTCCTAGTTTCCTTAAAATCGTTTCACTGGATGTCGCTAGTGTTTCAGCACAATCGCGTGTAGGCCTAGTACAGTACTGCTTAGCAGTCCCCGACGCAATCAAAATGCTCCCCGTTCAGACCGACTATATTCAGCAACACCGAAAGCTGTTCACTAATAATAATTGCTCATAAAATACTTCACAAAAATTGCTAATAATGTACATTGGACAAGTAATACTGCATCTGTTGAGTAGTGCGACAATCTCCTCTAACTGGGATATATTTCGCAGAATTCACAGGCAATTTCATTTTCATATCTTGGTCTAGTCATTGTTTAGCGTATTACAAGTTCAATCAAGAAGGCATGTGAGAGTGGAACTTCGTGTTTCTGTTGAGAAGGTGAGTCCCAAGGAAAAAGTTTGGCAATGAAATTTTTTTATTGAGTTTTGCTGAAGACACAACATGCTTACTGTGGAAGAGATCTAATAGTCAATTGTCACAATTAAATGTTCTAAAAGCTCAATACGTCGGGTTTTTTTTATTTCATTTTCTTTTTTATTATTTTTTTTAAGGCTAACAAGCTTTCACTTTACTGAAAAAGAAAAAAAAAAGATAATGAATTAAGTTATTTTTAGAACTGTACTAATTAACTATATTCAAATAGAATCCAAAATGAACAAAAGTAGGCCTACATTTGATCGCCGTTACTTTCTTGTGTATGGTGATAAATGAAACAGCATGTAGACATGATTAGCCAAAAATTGATAGCACCTTGGAGATTTGGATAAGAGTTTCCTTTCTCTCATGTATTCTAATAAAATTTATATTACACAATGATTTTGCCATATATACAAACATATATAGGTAAACGTCTTTAGCAGTCTGTTAACTTCATGGCTGTCAGTTGATAAAGATCTCTGATAGGGATCGAAACGTGCTAAATAAGTACTCCGTTTCCATTTTAGCTTTACAAAAACGAAAATTTGCCATCTATACAATTCCTGAAGCTAAATGAAATTCTTTCAAGTGTTAAAGAAAACTTTAAAACGTAAATGTATATTTTGTATATTTTATTGTTTTCTTTGTTTATATAGTACATATCAACAGAACATTGTACTGCGCTCTTTTAGTCAATCTATTTGCTGAATAATTAATGACTGAACACAGTAAGTTTTATCTGATATATTGTACAGGACAGCACAACACAGATGCAAAACACAGCTGTTGGATATCTAGGGGATGCTCAGGGCTCTCTCCACCACCACCTTCACCATTTTCAAAGTTCGAAGAAAAACAATCACGCTCAAGTAGATAAGAATCACCTATCACCATGTTTTGCGAGAGAGTGTCCTATCACTTAATCATCAAGTTCTCCCCCAGTTCAGCTTTGCATCCCCCATTACCCCGCCCCCATTTCAAGATTACTAGATAGGCCACTGTGTTGTAATATTTCAGAATACATGATGGAATATGGGAGGTTAACTCAAGAAGCAATGAAATGCAAATGTTTGCTTATTTACATGTTTCTCAAAATATTTATTTTGCATCTGCATATTTACACGTTCTCATCAAAGATACTTTTACATATATCAACCAAAATGTAATACCGTATTCACAATTGAACGATTCTCTAATTGATTGTAGATCCTGCTAAAGGTACGTTTGTTTGTAGGATCTATTAAAAATTACCATTCCCTGATAGTTTTAAGACCAGAATCTTTTCAGAAATTGAGAAACTCCTGTTTGACCATGTGCCTCTAATTAACATATTCATTATTATTTCCTCCAATGGGAAAGTGGTTTCTGTGACTATTCCTAACAAATGTATTGTCAGGTAAAATATCTTCAACTGAATACCACATTATCACATCTATGAAACTCACCATTTCCTGATAACTCTAGACAAGATGCTTCTCGGAATTTGGGAAAATTCCTGTTGGACCACGTCCCTCTAACATATTTATTATTTATTCCTCCAATGGGAAATCAGTTAAGTAAAATAAATCTACACAGTTGAATTTCAGTGAAATAAAAATATACAGAAAATATAAATCAATTCAACATGCACAGGTTGGTATCAACAGGCTACTATCTGGAACCCTACTTCTTGTGCATTTTAGATTTAAACAACTAAACTTATGACTAAACTGAAAGAATGCAGAATGACAAGCCATACATCCATGACCTAAATTTTGAATCTATTCTATTTTCTAGGGCATGATATATAAACTAAGGTGAGGTACAGGGGGAGATCCAGGTTGTCTCGGACTCGGCGAGAAGAAGGGAGGGAGGAGACAATGGCATTAAATGAAACTTATGATCTGAGGAAATGGTTTGTAGTTTTGGAGGGTTGTCCACTGCCCTATAGTAGGATACAGAGTTTTGGAGTTAAAGGCATTTTATCACTTATCTAAAGGATTTCATTATACTGCAAATTCTTTAGGCTGCTACCAGAAGGGTATGTACCCCTTTCATAATTCCTGGATCTGCCACTGGGAACTAATGTGAATTTAAGGTTCCCCACCTTAAACGTGTACTGTAGTTGGAATGGGCACTATCAAATAATGATATATAGTATAAAATATATAAACACTTCACAACATTTTTGCCCAAAATATAACTTTAAATGTAATAAAGAAAATAAATAATACTGTACTCTATTTATAAGTGAAGGAAAAATAATTCTAACAAAGAAAAAAATTGACCTAGAATTTATTATTAAATATTAAAGCACAAAATGTATTTATAAAAAATACAAATTCAATTAATACGCCTACAGTATTTGTTTAGTTACTTTTTACAGAAAGGTCACTGACAGTGACAGATTACTTGTCAGCAATACAGTAGAGCAAATACTTAACACATTTGCAGCCATACAGTGCGACAAATTTCTTACCAAAATTTGCCTCAGCAAAGAAGTATTCCCCAGTTGCACATAATAAAACAAACATCTAAAACATATTTTAGATTATTACGTATCAGATTAAGATTTTGCTCAAGTGTTCTTTTGCAGTTGTGGCCCATTGGATTGGATTGGATTTATTCGGTGTAAACACCAAGGATAGCCCACGAAAGTCTAGAAGAAGACTTGTTTCCAGTGGGGTCCTTCTAGTGGTGATTTTCCGAAGAGTGTACTGTGTTCTTTAACGCGCACATGGGCCATAAATGCACATGGGACCAACGGCTTAAACGTCTCATCCGAAAGACGGTGCTCTATGTAACTTGTATTTCAGCCCTCTAGCTGAAACACAAGGAGAAGCAGCGATAGGAATTGAACAGGGGACCTAGAGATCTCCACGGTTCAGCGCACACACAGTGGCTACCACCAGATTAGCTGACTGAGCTAAGCTGCTCTCTTCCAAGCAAACCCATGATCATCATAATATACAAAAGACAAAAGAATAGTTTTTGGGTGGGAGACTCGCTCCTAGACAATCTGCAAAACACTGTACAATTATTCTCGTTCATGGCAGTAAATGAGCCAAGATATTATTTTGCAATATTTTAAAATCTTTAATATGTATGATCTTCAGTTTAAATGAACGGTTAATAGTTTATTATGTAATGAAAAAAAAAAAAAAAGGAACCATTTTTATAAAAATAAATTAAATAATAAATACAGTAATGCATTTGGCAAATAACTAGTAAATATCTTTTCCAAAACCAGATAAACCTAAAAAAGTCTTTAGTTACTTTAAAAGAAACTTGGAAACTTGGTTACCAGTGTTAACATTTAAAAATGTGTACTGCTCAGGTTAACCTGGTTGCTCACTGCATTGTATGACGAATCAACTAAGCTCACTGTATGCGCTCGACAGTGGGACGCCATCTGCAGATTGTCAGTGGCCATCTGGGCTGATATTCATAAAAAAGGATGTGGTGCGCACACATCATGGCACTGCGTTCTCCATAATTTCATGTTGGCCGACGACCGTCGTGAGCAGTGAGTTCCCAGCTATAAGCAGGGAGAGATATTTAATCTGATAGCGAATCAAGACTACATAGGTCTGGGTTCGCAATCGAATTATAGTTCTCTGTCATTGAACCAAGACTACATACATCTTCAGCGGATGATACCGATTGAAAACCATCTTCAGTGTCATGTCCAAAATCACCAATATTTATTAAATCTTCTGGCGTTACACCTGAAAAAGTGAAAAAATGACTACTAATCATTAACAACTATCATATAAATAGCAAATTATTAATCAAAAACTAAATTAGTTTTAAGGAATAAGAAATTGTTTATGTCCAGGTCTGTTACAAGTAGGAGTTTCTGTAGTTTGCCTGAATACATTTTATGAGTAAAAACTCTATGCACACTATCTAACATTAGGCAACAGATAAAGGCGATATGCCCGTACTTAGGGTACGTTCAAACCTGAAAGATATGGCAGGCATATCTAACGCCGGGCGTATGTTAATCTGTGGTGTAACTAGCGAGATGTCTAGACTGAGCGAACAATGAAAGCTAGCGTAAGTATATTCGTGCAAAATATTTGTATTCGTAATTGTGCATTTTATTTCCTGTTTACATCTAGGCTTATTGTGATTGGTCAAATCCTGGCCAAGTTCAAAACCACTGATGAATGACTGTCATAACTCAGTGGTGTATGCTAATCTGGGGTGTGTTGGAGAATTAGCGTACATCAGTGATTGCGAGATAACACTGGCCTTGGCTATGCCACGCACAAGTTCACACCACTCGATTAATGTTACACTAGCGCAAGTCGTTGTGTTTGAACATAGCCTAAGGTGTAATATGACATCTTTATGCCTATATATGAACATCACATTTTAAACTAGCAACACCCTTCCTTCGCATCAAAAACCATTCAAATTAGAAGATAAAACAGAAAATATGTATACATACCTAAGGAACGTAACCTTTTCTTGAGAAGGTTATTCTGTTCGATCAGTATTGATTTTGTGCGTATCAATACAGAAGCCTCATCTCTCACAGTCTGAATCTCCTTGATAGCCTGCAAGAATCATTCATAGATTTATTATTTATTGTATTATCTCTGTTCACACTATCACGTTTTCTTTGACAAAAAAACTGTTAAAAAAAGTGCATCATCTTCAAAAAAGACTTTTAAGTTGTCCAGAATATCAAATTTTCTTTAACAAAAAAAATTGTTACTTATCGTCGCTCACATCACGAACTAACACAATCAAAGTAGATTGTGTTAGTTCGTGAAATCACAGTAGCGCGTCAAAACGAGCGTGTATTGGCAATTTCGTATTCTTTACCACACAAAAAGTCCTTAACAAAAACAGCGCGTATTTTGACGCGCTTTTTTGATTTCACGAACTAACACAGTCTACTTTGATTGTGTTAGTTCGTGATGTGAGCGACAATATATGGTCATGATGTGATGTCATCATGACCATATTTAGGCATGTCACATGTTTTTGTCAATTAAAATTTGATTGTCAGTACAGGTAATTGATGACAATAAAGATTACGCCGATAACAAAGTCAAGTAAACCATAAAAATGGACAAGAGTGCTGAAATGATTTTTTGATTAAACATTGAGCTGCACTGCCATGTGATATCTAACAACCATGGTTAGCTCTAATTGAAATATATTGGGATAAAAACGATCACTATTCCTTGGTCTAAGGATGTTTTATGTTGAATTACTGGTTTAAGATTTTTTTTTCCCCCTCTGACTTAACAATTATGTATTAGTTTTTGTGGATTTTCAACTCAAATGTTTTTGTAGTTACAAAACATCATTTTTGTAATGATGTCAATAGCACAAATCCATTCACATTTTGGAGGTTTGCAATTAGGAGATGTCACTGTAGTTAATGAAGACTTATTACACATGTTTTTAAATAATAATATTATTATTATTAATACTATCTTTATAATAGTTTAAGGCTTCATACCTTTGTAAGAATATCAATTTTAGATGAATGGCTTGGGTTTGTAAACAATACATCCCTTAGAGCTCGAAACCTTGTGGATTGATCTTGTCGTCGCCTACGTTCTTTAATGTTATGCACAAGCTGCAAAAGAAATGATAAATTATTTAGTTCTACATTATATATCAAATAACCACTGAAAACATACAAAATTGAAGAAACTGATTTGTCTCGAAAAAATTGTAAAGAAAGTACTAGTGTAGACAACTACAGTACCAAATTTGAGAATCAATTACTTGATAGTCATAT